AGATAATTATTAGTGATAAACTGAATATAAAAAAGGAAATCTGTCCAACTCAGATGCGGAGATATGATGAAAGCCGTTTCGTATCTGGGATGTTCAAAAGTGAGTCATAGTTCTCGTATTTGTTTCTAATAATATGCCCCATAAACGTAAAAAACGATCCGAACGTAATAGTGCTATTAATCAGACATTAAGGTAAATGTCTCGAGTCGTGTTAATAATAATCTTAGCATTATTAACGATTGAATTAATAAATTAATTAATTAATAAAGTTACAATGAATCACCAAACTTGGATAAACTGCCAGATACTCCAAGGGGCTTTTCACGAATTCTACGCGCAAAAGAAATTCGTGAAAAGAAGTTTGAGGGAAAAAAGTTATTAGCATCATCACCATCATCTGCTATTGCTAAACGGGTAATTTATAAACAAATTGATTTATTACGATCATGGATCATAGAATATTTATATATTTTTAGTTGATTCTTAGAAATCAAAGCAACATTCATCGTCGTTACAAGGACATTTTAGCAGGTATTTACATAATGTTATAATATAAGATGCAATAATTTATTCATAGATTTTTTGTTAGTCGAATTAATGCCCAAATGCGCTCCGATATTTTGAAATCAATAAAAGAAGAGAGCTCAACAAAAATCAAAAAGAAGAGGTTTGTTATTTTTTGTTTTATTCAAATATTATCTTATTATTAATAAAAATCAAAACAGATTTCTCGAAAAATTCAAACAAAAACGAAAAGAAAAAGAAACAAAATTGCTAAAAGAATTAGAGGTTAAAGATTTCGATTCATTCCAAGATCATGTAAAGTTTGGAGAAGTGGTTAATGCGCCTCCATCGATCACTGCTATTCCAAAACAACGAGGATCTTCTAAAGTAATTCGTTCGTCTCTTTTCCCTTGTATATATCATGGGTTAGTTTTATTTTGTTTTCAATTTCTTTTTTGTAGTTGATAAAAAATAATCAAGCGTTCGACAACGACAAACTGCATCAAAAAAATAACAGAAAACATAAAAACCCAGCAATCAAACGTATTCTTTCGGTAGAGCGAGAACGAGCTATTGCACAGTATCGGATGACGAAATCAAATTTGAAATAATGAACAAATGTTTCAGGATAATGAATGGTAAATTTCTTATTTATTTATTTATCTATCTAATTTATCATTTATCATCAGATCAACTTCAAATCAATAGGTTGCACAGAGATTTACAATATTTGTCTTTCTAATATTTACCGTTACGTAATAATTATTTATATTTAAGCTTATCGTTCGTTAGATTTGTATTTTAATACATGCAGTCGTATTTAGACCGTGAAGCAACTTGAAACGAATTGAGCAATCATGTATTCCATGTTTTTAGTTGCATATAACATTTACGTGCGAATAGAATAACGATAAAAAGTAACCGTTTCATCAAATGCAAAATGTGTACGGTAGGCGGAAATGCAGCAATCGTGTTTCTCATCCCTTGTAGATAGATCTCGTTAAATTGGGAATACAACGGCGATTGACCAACAAAATAAAAAGATAAATAAAAAGTGACAAAAATACCGATGGAAAAAACAGTTAACTACGGATAAAAAATATATGGATAAACGGGCTTAAGGAAATGAGAACGTCCGAAAAAGCATTAATCAAATTAATTACTAATTATACTGATATAATAAATTGAAACGATATTTTAATTATGCATGTGCTAATGTAAAAAAAAAATATGGACATCATGTATGCATTAATTCATTCTGAGTACAAGTACAATATAATTGAATGCATATCTACTCCACTTTGGATCTAAAAAAATTTTAATAATAATAATATAATACATATACCGCGGACATACATACACACATACATGCAACTCGCTTTTGTTACGACCATTAGAACC